TCGGTATTCTGTCATTAATTTCAGATTAGTAGGGATCCTTCCTGAAGTTTAACGTCGGGAAAATTCAATAGTTTTTTTTTCTTCTCGTATACCCTTTCGGGTCTTTACGATTTGTTTCCTTCCCACCTCCCAACCCCCTGTACCGCATTCGCCGAAGGACAAGGGAAAACCTCATTTGAGGGAAAAACCTGCCTAGGTACAGTCGTCTCTTGCGATACTCCCGCTTGACAATGAAACCGTGAGATTTAGAGTATCACAAATTTTGCCCCACCCCCCCCCAGCCGGGAATCGAACCCGGGTCTCCCGCATGCCAATCCCACACTCTAACCACACAGCCACCGCCGTCGGTAAATTCAATAGTTTTTTAAAAGACAATTTGAGATAAAAATTTTTAGAGAAGTGAATTTATTTTAAATTAGATTGAGTGACAACAAAATGAATGGAAAATTTGGTATCACAAGAGTTCATGCTCCTAATACATGAATGTTGATGTCTCCTTGGTCGTAAGTAAATTATTTAAATTTTATTTTTTGCCTGAATAGTTTTCCTTAAACTAGACTCAAGACCAGTATAACGTTTTTGCTAATGAATTAGACAGTTGCTTCTGAATGGTAAATTGGGGACGAAGATATACCAGCCATAAAACCTTAATATGATCCCTAAATGTCCCAAATGTCTAACATGAGTTCCATATGCCCTGGTTAAACATCTAACAGACGCTGACTAAATTAAAATTAAACTGGTTTAAACTTCGACTGAATATTGATTAAACCTTGATGAAACTTTAGTCCGACTGTGATTAAAGCTCGATTAAGGGGGGAAGTCGGTGAGTTTTGAAAGTCTTCGGTAGAGCTAGGGACCCATTGGGCGATTTTTGATATATGATGGGATATGTTAAAAAGTGGGAAACATGATGACCCAAATCAATCTGGCCCATAAATTCCCAGAAAATGACGTTTTCTAATTCTTAGCTTCAAAATCGTCCTTGCACCACAGTTTTTATCTGATTGACTTTTTCTCTCTGTTGAAATGTTCGTTAGACTACAGAGAATAAAGGTAAGTATCCGTTTGACGATCCGTTCATTAAAAAACTAGAAAATTAAGAAAATACATAGGCATTTTAGGCATAATGCGGATGCCATGAACAAAAAGAAATTCTTTTTCTCATTTTTTCCGATTTTTGAATTATTCAATTGACGGATCGTAAAACGGATACTTATCTTTATTCTTTGGAGTCTAACGAACATTTCAAAAGGAAAAAAAGTCAATCGGATAAAAACTGTAGTGCAAGGACAATTTTGAAGGTAATAATTGGAAAACGTCGTTTCCCGGGAATTTATGAGGCAAAATCGATTTGGGCCATCATGTTTCCCACTTTTTAACATCTCCCGTCGTATGTTAAAAGACGCTCAATGGGTCTCTAGCTCTACCCAAGGCTTTCAAAACTCACCGACGTCCCTCCTTAAGGGTGCCAAGTGAATTTGACGATGACCTTGAAAATTGACATTCACCAACAAATTTATAATTTTTTTAATTAATAGTATTAGAGAGATGGTGAATATCGGTGACAATTTTAAAACTTTAGAACTTATGGATATCGAGAAATTAAATAAACCAAATCAGTCTTATACACGGCCTCTTATGGAGTTTTGATTAAATTGAACGTTTCAACCCCCTAGGAACTCAAGACAAATTTTAAAAAATTTGAAGATATGGGGAATGATATGTTCAATGTGATGGCGACAGAAAACAATGGGGTACCGGGGTGAATAAGAGAGATATTTCAACCCGCCGAACCCATTTGATCCCATGCTTTCTCGAGGTTCGTCCCGCGAAATAGAGGATTTTCCGCATTTATTTAGTCGATGTCTAGTTCCGGTTGCGGGTTTGAAATTTCGTCGGATGGATGAATACATATTTCTCCAATGATGGAGGGAAAGAAAAAATTTTTTTTGAATCTTTTTTCAAATTCACTTGGCACTCTTAAATGCTTTTTAAGGATATAATTTCAAAGCAAATGATGCGATCACTATATCTTCGAATTCGATCGAGATAACATCCAAACGAATATTTTAAGCCATAATTGAAAAGAGTTCGACGATTATTTTTTGAATGATCGTCGAAAAACTAAATTAAAAAAAAAAGCTCACATACATACGGGCATGATCTAAAAACAGCATATTCGAACTCCTGAGATCAAAATTAGTCATCGTCAAGCAAAAAATGGAAATTTCAGATTTTACGAATACAATGCTTCTATTCGGAAGCAAAAATGGCAATTTTCGAAAATTACAAGCATTTTCTATTAATAACTTATAAACAATGAATTTTCCACTATAAAAATCATGAATGGAAATTTGAGGAAAGGCGAAAAATCGCCGGAGGTCGGGTTTGAACCCACGACCCTTAGGTTCCCAGTCTGAAACTTACACCCATGGCTATCCTCTCAGTCACTATAAAAATTATTGTTTCAGAATCGTAACAAATTCATTAATATTCAGAATTTTACCAGGAATCGATTTTTTGTCTAAAAAACAACGTCTCCGAAAGTTTAAACAATTTCAATTATTTATTTATAAGTAACAAATATTTTTAAAAAATTCTATGCAAAATGTAATTTGAATGCCACTGAATATCCTTGATGTTTTTCAAATTTTTCTCACGCAAATTAATTGACAAATTTGCTGATCGAAAGCGGTTGAATGGATAATGTAGTTTCTACCAAACCGTAAAAGATACTTCGATATTCTTAAGGGCATCATGAATTACCTGAGGAATACAAAGAGCCAGGGAAATGCCCCAGGCGATGTAGACCATGACCTTCGCCTGCTTGTGAGTAGTCCTGCAGTAATTGAACGGATAGCAGATAGCGTGATAGCGATCAATGGCCCCGGCAATCAAGACGTAGGTGCTTGCATAATGCCCGAGGGGCTGTCCAAACTTGACCATCTTGCACAGTACTGCACCCCCCTGAAATCTGTTCTCATTAAACTCCAAGCGTTCTTCATCATGCAACTAAACAACACTATTATTTAATAATTGGATTAGAAGTGGAGTAGCAAAACGAGATCAGTCCAAAATTCATAAGTGAATTGAAGAATATCTCGAAAACTTAGTTCAGACAAGAAAGCTACAAAACCTTTCTGGCAGCCCTGAAAATGATCTACAAAATGTATTTTCTATGTAATTTTTCTATAAATTCTATTAAGGTACTTCCTTAGTGAGTTATACCTGGTGAAAATTTCGCAATGAACTGAAGGCCTAAAATTTGGATCATATGTTGTTGAGGACATGTAAAAACGACTCCCAAAATTTCAAGTATTTTTTCCACGCAAGTTTTTGAGATAACCATCGTCAAACATTCAATTTTTCTTTTTCAAGTTTTTGTCGATGCATATCTCAAAAATTCGCGTGGAAAAAATACTTGAAATTTTGGGAGTCGTTTTTACATGTCCTCAACAACATATGATCCAAATTTTAGGCCTTCAGTTCATTGCGAAATTTTCACCAAGTATAACTCACTGAGGAAGTACCTTAAGGTGTTTCGTGTGTAGATCACCGGGGGGTGAAATGGAAATGGAGTCTTATTGTTCTCCATAGCCGCCCGAGTCGAATATCTGGACCTTATTCGCCCCTATTACCTCCTCGAGTCGAATATCTGGACCTTATTCCCCCTTATTACCTCCTTGATATTTTTTCCTCCTTTCTTCATCCTATACATCCTGAATAACTCCTTATATGATCTTGCCTCATCCTAAAGGCGTAAAAACCCTTCTCAACTGATACTTTTTTCCCCCTTCTCCTCCTGTCGAATGAAAAGGAATCATAAATCCCCTGAATTAACCCTGATAGCCAGGATGATTGAGTAGCTCACTATTTTGTGTCATTTCTGTTTGCGGTGAAAATTACTGAAATTCCCACCCTTATTGACTATCGCCCTTGTCGACTGTCAACTCTTTTGACTGTCGTTTCTGACCGTTATTTTTGACCCTTATATATGACCCTTGAGTATGACCTTAATTTTCACCTGTACTTCTCATGTTAATAATTAAAAATAAAAAAAAATACCTCGAAAGGGTTTGTAGGTTCTTTCCAGCAGGGATGGAGTGGAAAACATTTTAGGGGGTGCAGGCGATACATAGGTTTAACACACCTCCTGTTTTCCTTCTGAACTCTTGGAATTTGGAAATAACTCGCACGTTCAGGCGGAAACCAGGGGGTCTTTCTGAATGTAAATACACCCTAACTTCATCCTGGTCCTCCTACTCCTGATAGGTGTTCAAGGGGGAATTCAGGTCCTAATATTCGACTCGGGCGTGATTCAATCGCTGAGCGCGAAAGTTTCCAACTTTTGAAGTGACTATTGAAGTGTGCATTTGAACATTTTTTGAATATTGATTTTAGTGTTAAATAATTTTTATTGGATGTTTTTCTAATTATTGAAATAACATTAAAATGCGTCTCGAGTTGGTAAATCTGTCGAGTGTTTTCTCTCTCTCAGTTCCTGGTCCAACCCATATCTTTCCCATAATGCTCACTGACATTTGAATCACGTGCCTGCGCGTGAGCGCGTAATTGTTGCGAAATTCATAATTTTTTGAATCATTTGTTCAAATAACTTTCTCGTGAAATCTGAAAAATCTGAAACTTATGCGTCTTCTCAAGAAAGATTTGATTTATCACCCACTAGTTTTTCCTCAATAGCTCATTATTTTTTTGGGTGCTATGGAAATTTCCCTAATTGAGAGTGAGGTACCCTCGGAGGTTATAGCTGGAGGGGTTACAAAAACATCCAAATTTCATTATTTTTGTTCTTGAGACTGAGATCTGAAAAAAATGTGCAAAAATTTTCAATGATGCAGCATACTCAGACATTTTTCCCATGATTGTTCCAATTGTTTTTCATTATTTTGACTTTTCACACGAAACACCTTAATATGCTATGCGAATAATTTTTGTTTTTATAAAAAATGTAAGATAAACGTATAAGGAAAGAAAACAATTGACTGTAATCAATTTGTTAAATGTAATGACCTGTAAATAAAGGAGTTTTCTTTACAAAAAAAAATTAAATTTGAACGATTACGAAGCTTCCATTCGGAGGCAATCTCATAATTTTCTAGATGCTTCTACTGACGAACTGTGTAATTTATTCGGATTTTTCCGTGAAATCAGTCAATGATAAGGAAAAAAAATGCAGCAGCGTTTCCCCTACGTGGTGAGCAATTTATGGCTAAAGGCTCACCTCCCACCCGTGATATCCCACACGAGTTGCGGTAGGACATTCAGCACTCCAGTCATGAGATCAGCGATGCTCAGATGCATCATAAAAAAGTACATCCTCGTCAGCTTGCGTCTGCGTCCACAGTACCTCCTCAGGTAAAGTGCAAAGAGCACTAAAAAATTACCAACCACCGTAATTACGAGTATCACTAGCAAAATAACAATTTCCCAAACGGCCAAGAACTCGTCACGTGGATCTTCAGTCATGTTCGATGATTCTTCCATTATTTGTTTGTTTCGACTGAACATTAACCGTCGAATAAATCAATTGTGCAGGTCAATCCGGAAATCAGGGGCCAAGACCTGAATATTCATGAGTCTAGCCACTGCTTTCTTCTTCCATAATCCAACACTATTCGTTGAATCATCACTCGAACGATGAAACAGGTCATTAAATAAACTGTAAAGGGGTAATAAAAAGATATGTATTTGTAAATATGAACTTATCTAGCTAACGAGGGAGTTCAAGGGAAAATGACATGGATATGCATCGTCAGAAATTCTATCCTTTATAATAAAGATTTTTCACATTTCGCATAAAAAACGAGAATTTCAAATTCGACATGAAACAGGACAATTTGAAACTGTCCTCCATGGTCAATATTCAGAATGAAATATGCCAATTTTTTCTTATTTTCAAGGTATTTTTTCGAGTTTTAGAATGAAACCAAGCTCAGCTGAATCGTATTATTCGATCATCAGATATTATACATTGTAAAAATGTCACGTTCTATCGCTTCCATAAAAAATTAAATAAAATCAAAACTCTGGAATTATCTTCAGATAACCATTTCGGAAATCCGAAGCCAAGACTTGAATATTCATTAATTTCCACTCCCTTTTTTCCATAATCCAACGCTATTCGTTGAATCATCACTCGAACGATAAAACAGGTCATTAAATAAACTGTGAAGTGGTAATAAAATATGTATTTGTAAATATGAACTTATCTCGCTGACGAGGGAGTTCAGGAGAAAATGGCATAGACATGTTTCGTCGGAAATTCTATTCTCTACAATAAAGATTTTTCTCATTTCGCGTAATTAACGAGAATGTTCCATCGTCAATACCTAGAATGAAATTTGCCCATTTTTTCTCATTTTCAAGGTATTTTTTCGAGTTTTTGAATGAGACCAAGCTCAGCTGAATCGTATTATTCGATCCTCAGATATTATACATCGAAAAAATGTCACGTTCTATCGCCGATGAACATTTCGGAAATCGGAAGCCAAGAATCGAATATTCATTAATATCCACTGCCTTTTTTTTCCATAATCCAACATTTTTCTTTAAAGAATCACTCGAACGATAAAACAGGTCGTAAAATAAACTGTGAAGTGGTAATAAAAAGATATGTATTTGTAAATATGAGCTTATCTCACTAATGAAGGAGTTCAGGGGAAAATGGCATGGACATGTTTTGTCGGAAATTCTATCCTCTATAATAAAGATTTTCGACATTTTGCATAATTAACGAGAGTTTAAAATGCCACATGAAACAGAACGATTCGAAACTGTCTTCCATCCTTGATATTTAGAGATCGGCAGAATGAAATTTGCCAATTTTTTCTCATTTTTTAGGCACTTTTTCCAGTTTGAGAATGAGACCAAGTTCAGCTGAATTATATTATTGGGTCATCAGATATTATACATTGAGAAAATTTCACGGTCCATCGCTTCAATAAAAAAATTGAATAGAGCACTGTCAAAACACTGAAATTATCTTTAGGTAAACAGTTCGCAAATCAGAAGCCAAGACTCGAATATTTATTAATATTTTTTCCATAATCCAACAATATTTGATAACTCATCACTCGAACGATAAAACAGTTCATAAAATGAACTGTGAAGTGATAATAAAAAACATCTTCGTAAATATCAATTCATCTAAAAAAACATTTTTCGTCGTGAATTTTGACCTCTTCTCCTAAAGTCTCTCATTAATAAGATAATTGCATATTTATCAAAAATATTAAATTTCATTTGAGACAGAATGACTCAAAACACTCTTCAGTTGTTATTATTTCGACCTCCGGAGAGAGAGATTGATCGATTTTTCCGTAATTTTCAAGTTAATTTTTCAAACTTTAAAATGAGACCCAATTTACCTAAATTCTACCACTGGGTCAGTAGATATACATTTGAAAAATATCACGTTTTATCGCTTTCATAAAAAAATTGACGCACTTTCAAAAAACTGGAATTAACTCAACTTGTATCAACACTATAAATGTCAATTAATAACAAAAAAACATTAAGCTTAATTGATAATGCGATCAACTGACACTAACGACTCTAGAGTCGACCACCAACTGAGCGAGATGCTTCGCCAATCGACACTGAATTTTTTTTATTTTCTCGAAACAACTCGTCATTATGACCATCAAACAAACTAGAGCTAGAAGTAATGGCGATTACAGTGAGAAATAAAAAAAGGAGCAGATGTGGAGAATTATTATTACCTTGAATTTATGCACTCGCTCCTTTATTTTTTCTCCGCTTGACACATGAATACTTTCTAGCTCATATACATTGGAATGATTTTCTATTGAAGATTATCATTGATAGTTGCGATTCGCCAAAAAAAAATGATGAGTGAGTTTTTGCCGATCGTCTCGAGATTGAAGGCATATTTTGCATTGGTAATTACCTGGTAATTGTGGATAAATGAGTCATTCGATATTCTAACGTTTTAATAATTAACAGTTTATTTAATACATTTCGGAGTATTTTTATTGTATTGCCAGGAATAGTGTGAAGTATGATGCCGCTGTCTTGAGGACCTGCATTAAAACGAAGGCAGAATTATATATCATACGAGAGATGACACAAAAATGAGTTGATAAATTTACCACAGCGTAAGTGTCCATATTCATGGCGATTATTTTTCCAGCTGTCAAGACGATCGGCGATTGACTCCTCATGAGCATCAGAGGCAGCAACTTCTGGGTCTTCTTTGTAGCGTCATACCAGGCTGAATTTGTCCTAGAAGGTCATGATAATGTTATGAATTACAAACCTCGGATACGTTCTACCATGTTGACGTTCATTTTTCTTTTCTTTTCTCTTTAATCCCTCCTCTGAAGCTACTTTCCTTCCAATTGTTTATCATTCTACTTCGTTTTTGGGTTCACAGCAAAAACGAGTATTTGAATTTCACACACCTTTTGTAGACATTTTTCAGACACTAAAAATCGTCTGAATAAAATGAAAATTTGTCTGAATTTCAAGCATGAATTAAGATGCTTCGGCACCTGTTCATCTGAAATTCAAACATTTGTTTTTGCTGTGTTGTTTGTTCCTGTCATTTTACCTTTCTTCCCCTTTTAATTTAATAAACTCTTTTTAATCAATTTCATGGGCTTTTCAATAAGATAAAAGACATGATTTTAGGATATAATTCAAAAATTGATAATTTTGGAAGATGTGAAGAACACTTTTTCCCAAAGAAATGTGCCTCTCTCCATTGAAATATGGGGATGACATTGGGAAGTCATTGAGGCATAAAGCGTGTACAATTAATGTTTCTTTATGGTGAATGAAATTTTTTTCATCAAACTGTCCATAAAACGTAGTTTTTTATTTCGTGTCCGTCAAATACCGTTTACGGACATTGTGAAGAAAAATTATGTTCGTCACTCGGTCGAAAACAACTTTTCTTACTCGTGTAATTGCATTTCTCGCCTTCGCCTCGGTCGGCAACCTTCACACTCGTCAGAAAAGTTTTTTTCCGGCCTTGTAACGAAAATAGCTATTTTGTCGCTCCGTTCGTGAAATCTCGGTTCACATACGCTGCGTCTGCGAAAAAGCCGCTCACGACTGCAGTGACGAAAAAATGCTTCGTCACTAAATCGAAAATAGCGATTGTCATCACAAGGCCAAAATAGCTATTTTCGTCACAAGGACGAAAAAATTTTTTCTGACAAGTGTGAGGGTTGCAGAACGAGGCGAAGCCGAGGAATGCAATGACACAAGTAATAGCTATTTTCACTCGTGTGGCTGGTTAATCCTCCCCTCGGCTCGGATGTCACGAGACCGAAACAGGGCTGCACTGTTAAAAATTTTCGCTTGAATTTTCCGTGCCAAATTCCGAAAAGTTTTATCGGGTTCAAGTTCCACTGAAATTTCAGGAAATCTCGTCATTGAAAAATTAAATATTCTATTGATTTTCTGTTCAAATGATCTAAAAATGAATAAAATACTTGATTTTTCAGTTCAATTATTCTATAAAAATTCGTGACATTTTGTTTCTGAATATTCATGTTCTACTGAAAATCCAATCAAGTTCTGAAGTTATCATCTTACTCCCACTTAAAACACATGAATTTCCTTGAATTCTACCTAAAACTAGAAATTTCATAACCCCGTTTCTCCTCAATCCGATTCAATGTCAGTCTTACGAGAATTACTAAAAATTTCTAAAAATAACTAAAAATTACTAAATTTCCAACGGTGTGCGCACGCTACCAAGACGATATCGTTCAAAAGTAATTGAGATCCCATAAAAAACAAAAAAAAATGATTTTTTTGTAGAAAAACGTGTGCCAAGACCGTATGCGTGTATGTATTGAATAGAAAAGTAAGACTACAAAAATGAACGAAATCAAAATGTAAAAATGCCAAGTCCAAATTTGTTCAGGAACTATCATCCGAACTACCATACAACATACGACATGATTAACAATCTGCAAAAAATAACAGCTACCATAATTCATTTGGTGAACGAACTTGGCGTGTCCGGGCAATAATTATTCATGAATTAGCGCCATTCTAATAAATGGAACTCTTTTCAATAAAGGGATTTCTCTTTCTTTTTAACTTCCTGACCCGAAGGAAGGGACACGCCAAGTACGTTCACCAAATGAATTATGGTAGCTGTTATTTTTTCCAGATTGTTAATCATGTCGTATGTTGTATGGTAGTTCGGATGATAGTTCATGAACAAATTTGGACTTGGCATTTTTACATTTTGATTTCGTTCATTTTTGTAGTCTTACTTTTCTATTCAATACATACACGCATACGGTCTTGGCACACGTTTTTCTACAAAAAAAATTTTTTTTGTTTTTTATGGGATTTCAGTCCTTTTTGGAGAGTTACCATCATCAAAATAATTCGATTCATTCCTGATTTCATGGATATAACTAATTACAACCCATTCATACGGAGGGGTGCTTGTACGTTGAGAATTGAAACTCACCTTCCACCGCCAAATTTCGGAAAATTTAAAATTGTCTCTCCCCTGTGAGTTTTTCAAGAATACCTCTGAGACTATGGGGGCTTTCGAATTATTGAAATCTTGATGGAGGGGCAGGAGGGCGAGTGTTATAGGTTGAAAATTCAAACTCACCCCTTACCCCTCAAAATTTATAAAATGCCCAATTCCCTCCCACCTCGTGAGTTTTTCCTGAATATCCCTGAAACTACGGGAGATTTTTTATGAAAAATTTGGGGGAGGGAGAGTGATAGCGGAGGGTTTCGAATTCTCCATGAACAATNTTGAAACTCACCTTCCACCGCCAAATTTCGGAAAATTTAAAATTGTCTCTCCCCTGTGAGTTTTTCAAGAATACCTCTGAGACTATGGGGGCTTTCGAATTATTGAAATCTTGATGGAGGGGCAGGAGGGCGAGTGTTATAGGTTGAAAATTCAAACTCACCCCTTACCCCTCAAAATTTATAAAATGCCCAATTCCCTCCCACCTCGTGAGTTTTTCAAGAATACCTCTGAGACTATGGGGGCTTTCGAATTATTGAAATCTTGATGGAGGGGCAGGAGGGCGAGTGTTATAGGTTGAAAATTCAAACTCACCCCTTACCCCTCAAAATTTATAAAATGCCCAATTCCCTCCCACCTCGTGAGTTTTTCAAGAATACCTCTGAGACTATGGGGGCTTTCGAATTATTGAAATCTTGATGGAGGGGCAGGAGGGCGAGTGTTATAGGTTGAAAATTCAAACTCACCCCTTACCCCTCAAAATTTATAAAATGCCCAATTCCCTCCCACCTCGTGAGTTTTTCCTGAATATCCCTGAAACTACGGGAGATTTTTTATGAAAAATTTGGGGGAGGGAGAGTGATAGCGGAGGGTTTCGAATTCTCCATGAACAATCCCCTGGTCCCCCTTNGTACGTTGACAATTCAAATTCACCCTGTTCCTCCAAATTTTGCGGCAGTAGACAATTCCCGTATATGCCTTGCCTTGGCACGTATCACCACCGCAATACTTGAACGTGGGGATAACCTAACCGTCACCCTCAGCGGTATGGAGTGCTCGATATCCACTATCGAGATATCGATATACTGAAATATCGAGATATAGCGACGGAATCCAAACAAAACAAGTCAGAAGGAGAACGTAAACATCGAAATGGATGAAAGATCGAGACATCGAAATCGACTCCAAAACAAAACAAAACAAACCACAATAAATGTGTTTTGATGAAATCCGTCGCACTGGCATCCTTATACACAGGAAAGTCGGAAAATGAGTGGAGGGGGAAGGCGCTTCGGAATAAGTATAGCGGTAGTGGCTATTGCACGCATACGTCTTGGCACGTATCACTACCGCGATACTTGATGATACCGAGTTGAGACTGCCTCGAGGGCAGGGTCAGGTAAAGTCTACTCTCGGAGCAGATTGTGCTCCCGACCTCAATTAGTGTGTTTCAATGGAGTGAATAGAGCGCATTATATCGGGCGCTGGGCCTCTACGACCCGGATCTTAAAGGCCCATCCCTATAGTCTAGGCCCTAGACTTTAGGGTGACACTTCCTCAAACATTTCTATCGTGGGTGCAAACACCCATGGTTTCATCGATCATCCCTTTCTCGCCCCCAAATCTCTACTTTATGTAGAATGAGATCTAATCACTACAACCTCAACCACAGCCTACATAGGAAAAACATAATATCCTCTCCATTATGTTACTGTCCGAGTAAATCTCCCGAAGAGCTAATCATGTATTCTGGTCATGTTCTAAATACTCCCAAGAACGCAGTACACTAATCAAAGCCTTAAATAAGGCAAAAATTAAAGATCGCAACATTACCAAGCTATTGACATCCCCCGATAATAAAATTGCCTACCTCCTATGCCATTTTTTAAAACACATAAAAAAAGAAATTTAAACATGTAGTTTACTCCCCACCCACCAACACTCACACCTTGGTGAACAGAAATGTCCCTAGACGGGATAACGGTCGTTAGACTATCGACTCCAGTTCTAAACCGCCCGTGCCATAAAAATCATATAATAATAATAGGGCGAGACTTCTGACGGCGTCTCGAAAGGGAATAGTACATTACATGTCCGAGCCTTGGAAAACAGATCACTGTCCCCCATGTGCAGGATGGCAAGCACATGGGGGAGGGTGATATGTTTTCCATGGCGAGGTGTGCATATTAATTTTTGTGTCGAGGGACCCGAAAACGAAAATGGGGATTTTCAGGTCCCGTGACACGAAAACACGCTTTTTGATCCGCGGACATTTCCGCGACGGAATTCCTAAATAAAAAGAAAACTACCCGAGTGGAAATTCTGGTCAGGTCTTGATCAAGTTTGGATCAGGTTAGACCTGACCACTGATCAGGTATTGATCAACTTGACGGATCCGGTCTTGATCAGACATGTTACGCCTCTGACCAATCCGGATTTGATCAGGATGAATGGATCCGAACTTGATCAAGTCAACTGTATGAAAACCGGATGACCTGTCTGTCAGTATCAATAACAATTATCAATGATAATTAATCCAAAACAAAAAATAATTCAATTCTTTCACCGTAGGCCGCCTCTCTTAATGAATCTCCACTGTTATTATCTCTGAAAAAGGTTATTATTTTTTTACCGATGCTGGGGATCGAATCGGGGATCCTATGATTACTAATTCTATACCCTAAGCACTACGCTATCGCGGTATTACTATTGAGTAAACTGTACATAGCCTATATGATTTCTATCGGGGTATTCGTTGAATTTACGATTATTCCTGATCTCGCCGATGTGCGTGTGTATTCTCAGAGATAAAATATGTTCAATTAAATATTTATTTATTTCATTAATTAATAATAATAATGATAATAACAATAACACTAATAAGTAAATAGACATTTGGTAATTTTTTTCTCAAGATCATTTGCGTGTAAGTTTGATACTCCTCTATTTACCGCAACTATTTACGTATTTACCGCAACATCATCCCTCCCTTTTATACATTTGAAAAGGGCTGGCTGTTAATTAAATTGATTAATTAAATTAAATTCATTAAATTGAATTAATTTAATTTAATTTATTTTAATTATAGTATAATGATCCTTTTTAAAGATTGAAAATAATTATGGATAATGGTTGATAAAACTTAATTTGAATAGTATAATAATAGTTGATTAAATTATCTCAGGGTAAGATCGTGGCTATCTGATCAGAACTTGATCTGAATCCGCCTGTAGTTTTCGGATCCGATCTGCTGGATCAGAACTTGGTCAGGTTTTCATCAGGCATCATCTGATCATGGCTACCTGATCAGAACTTGATCCGAACCCGCCTGTAGTTTTTCGGATCCGATCTGCTGGATCAGAACTTGGTCAGGTTTTCATCAGGCATCATCTGATCATGGCTACCTGATCAGAACTTGATCCGAACCCGCCTGTAGTTTTTCGGATCCGATCTGCTGGATCAGAACTTGGTCAGGTTTTCATCAGGCATCATCTGATCATGGCTACCTGATCAGAACTTGATCCGAACCCGCCTGTAGTTTTTCGGATCCGATCTGCTGGATCAGGACTTGGTCAGGTTCTCATCAGGAATGACCGGATCAGTCGAACCTTACAAAAACCTGATCAAGTTCTGATCGTGCTTCAGGTGGGCCTGAAGCAATTTCCACTCGGGTAAAGACAATTTTTTCAGTGACATTTGTATTGTTGACATCCGATCGGATAAATTATCCGATATTTTATGTGTTGGTATCAGATGGAGAACAGAAACTAGGGAAGCTTCCCGATAATCGCCTCGTTTTTTTTCTTCGTATCAAACTGTATTACCATTTGTATTATCACCCGTAGCCGCATTACCTCACACGAAATTTTCGTTCATCAGCGTTGAGACCTATAATTTATACACTCACCCGAGTGGAAATTTTGCTCAGATCCAAGTCAAGACCGGATCAGGTCAAACCTGACGATTGATCAGAAAATGATCTGAGGACTGGATCAAGTCCTAATCAGTCATGTAACGCGGTGTTTAATCAAGACTTGATCAGGCCTAACAGTTCCGGATTTGATCAAGCTGACGTATTCAAATCTGATGACCTGTCTGCTGGAGTCAATAATAATTATTAGTGATAACTATTTCAAAAGAAAAGATAATTCAATTTTTTCACGATAGATGGCCTCTCCTAATGCATCCCCTACCGTAATTACCGTTGAAAAAACTTTCGTATTAAAATTTTATCCATTTCATTAATGGATAATAATCCTGATAATCATAATACTAATGAACAAATGGGAGCTTGATAAGTTTTTTTCTAGTCAAGATAATTTGCTTGTGAGTGTGACACTTCGACTATATGTAGTTATTGAGCCACCCCTCCCTCTCTCCGCACAATTAATTAATTAAAAATTAAAAATGTTAATTAATTAAAAATTTGATCGTCGGAAAAGGTTTGTTCAAAATAAGATCAAGTAGACCGGATCCGAACCTTATCATTTTTTCTTCCATTAACCCCGTTCAAATGAAAATCAATTGCATCAAATCCGAATCGGATCAAATTGGGTTTTGGCAACCTGACCTCAGACTGAAATCATGTCTACCTGATCACAACTACATCTGAGCCCATCTGAAGTTTTTGGGATCCGATCGAGTGGATCAAAACTTGGTCAGGTCCTCATCAGGCGTCACCTGATCATGCCTACCTGACCAGAACTTGATCTGAACTCGTCGTTGGTTTTCGCGATCCGATCGACTGGATCAAAACTTGGTCAGGGTCTCATCAGGCGTCACCTGATCATGCCTACCTGACCAGAACTTGATCTGAACTCGTCGTTGGTTTTCGCGATCCGATCGACTGGATCAAAACTTGGTCAGGGTCTCATCAGGCGTCACCTGATCATGCCTACCTGACCAGAACTTGATCTGAACTCGTCGTTGGTTTTCGCGATCCGATCGACTGGATCAAAACTTGGTCAGGGTCTCATCAGGCGTCACCTGATCATGCCTACCTGACCAGAACTTGATCTGAACTCGTCGTTGGTTTTCGCGATCCGATCGACTGGATCAAAACTTGGTCAGGGTCTCATCAGGCGTCACCTGATCACGCCTACCTGACCAAAACTTGATCTGAACTCGCCGGTAGTTTTCGGGATCCGATCGATTGGATCAAATTTGGTCAGGGTCTCATCAGGCGTCACCTGATTACGCCTACCTGACCAGAACTTGATCTGAACTCGTCGTTGGTTTTCGCGATCCGATCGACTGGATCAAAACTTGGTCAGGGTCTCATCAGGCGTCACCTGATTACGCCTACCTGACCAGAACTTGATCTGAACTCGCCGGTAGTTTTTGGAATCCGGTCCACTAGATCAAAACTTGGTCAAGTTCTCATTAGAAATCACCTGATCAGTCAAATCTTACGAAAACTGGATTAAGTTCTGATCATACTTCAGGCAGACCTGAAGCAATTTCCACTCGGGCAGTGCCAGTATTTGTGGGTTTATCATGCCGTTGAAATTGATTACATCCCAGAAGGGGAAAAGTCTTTATTGCATGATGGTTTGTTATATCATTTCAAAACTGTGAATAAGGACAGTATCTCGTGGTGATGCATGTGTCATACACAATGCTGGTTACAATGTATATTTATTAATTAATGAAAATGGCGTGCTTCTATGAATCGAGGGGAATTTATTTGCTGGAATGGCGGAGTCAGTGTAATTGTCTGTACAATGTGAGTTATCGAATTGAAAATTGCGAATTAAACGTTATCTATGAATTCTGAGTTTTGTTCATTTTTTGCACTTAATATTGCTTCAGAAGGGGATGAAATTTGAATGGAACCTCCGGAAAATTTGTCCGTGGCTTTTTTGTACCTCGGGAATGATGGATGTTGAGAAAATTGTCGGTGGAAAAATTGTCAACGAAGAAATTATCGATAATATGGTCGCGGAAGTTTTGTCCGCGGATCAAAAGTTACGGAACCTCTCGCAGAGACCATCAGGGTCTCACGAGTGTGCTCAGGCGGATCATGCCGTACGAGGGTCAAACTCAGCATTTATTCTATCGAAAGACAAGGATAGAAATCGAATTTATGAGTATTCTTTCATTATTGGCTAGAATATATCGATTTGAAAACTTTCCAGAGACATTGAAAAATTAAATTTTTCATTTCTTTCCGCCCGCGTTATTTTCTATTTTTTAATTTCTTCTTGTTAAAATAAGATCATCAAACTTGAACATATTCATATCCCTTCCATATTTGAAGAAAAAACAGTAATTTCAAGTTTCCACTGATACAAATGAAAAAAAAATTTTTTTTTTCCATTTTCTAGCCGATTATCTCTTTTTAAAAATTTTCAGTCTCCAATTCGTTATTTTTGCTATTCAATGCCATTCATTATATTCATCATTCTATTAAAAGACGAGGATGGAAATCGAATTGATGGGTATTCTTTCATTATTCGAAAAGATATTTGATGGTGTTATTCGTCGGTAGGGCCGTAAATGGTGCACTTATACAGTTGCCAAAAATATATATATCAAGAATAACAATGAATCGAAGTTACTTAATCTAATCCTAAAGACGGAAAAGACGAAAAAAATAAAATAAAATAATATAGTATAAACTAATCTAGCAACGGGCGCGAAGCGAATACTTTATGTGTGAGTAATTAAATTTGAAAAATGTGGAGAAGTGAATTCAGCGTACAGAGACTCTTTAACCTCGTAACTGGCGTCCATAAGTCGTTGAGCTGCGTAGCACTCAACGAATAGATGTACACTCTGCATAACCACGAATATAGCATACTTGATGACTTTCTCTATAGCATCCTGATTAATGACCACCTAGAATCGTTTGAGTTAGAGCAATCAAGTGAGCTAGATATCCTCTGAGAATATTGATGACAATCTATTTCACCTGCACACCGGTTATGCTCATCATGATCATATTCAGTCCGATGACCGCAAAGAATGTCCAGAGGTAGATGTCTCTGACTTGCTCTGCAAAACTTCATACGATTTTTATCATCCATAATTCAACATTACACTATGATTATTATCACGCACTATATTGCACGGCTGTGAATTGCTGCGCAGCACTTCAAGTACTCAAAACCGAAGTCACTTCTCTCAGACTTGTTGTGCGGAGGCAGATGTTCTATTGCATACCTTCGAAATAGAAAAGAACAATTTCTTTATAAGTTGGAAAATAACAAAATTTGGGAAAATTATGTTTTTGTAAGGAGGATGAATCTCCAAAAAAAGATCTCTTGACCCTTTCTCTGAATTGATTCTTAGCTTTTACGCGCAAGAAATAATTTAATAGAAAAATCTAGCGAATTCGCTAGATAATTCTGTTGAATTTCTGTTGAACTTTCTATTATTTTTCAGTCGATTCTATTGAAATGTTCAATAGAAAATATTCTATAGAAAAAGTCGACAGAATTCTATTTTTCTATACTACTTATTCTATCAAAATATTTTCCATAGAATTTCCTCGGCTCAGATTTTCCAATTTTTTTTTCACAAACGATGAGAAAAGAATCAGCAGACTAATCTGGTATGTATGTGACGTCAAAACACGTATACGTGGATTTTCTATATTCGCTTCAGAACGCTAGCTCCTTTATATTTGAAGAAATTCTAATAAAACGGATTAAGCCCCGTTTTTCTCTAAGGGTTATAGAAGCCGAAAAAAACAAGAAACGTCAGAATGTAATTCTGGGCATTTCAAAGTAACTAAGAAGACCATAAAATTCCTCAATTTTTTTTTCGTAATTTTCAATGTTATCTTATAAATTGGAACAATTGTTAGGAGAACGTTGCGTATAATTGGATTTATGTTTTCATGTAAATCGTTGGTATCACGGGGGTTATGGAGGGTCCATGTGACATTCGTAACCTAGCCCGACTTTAACATCATGCATAAGGATGCAAAAAAACAAAATGCTTCAGGTATTGAATGCAATTGTATTTGGAATGAAGGATATTTTTCGGATTATAATGGACACTCCTTTATTCTCCCATTCCATAATTCCCACTCTACTCCCCTCGAGGCCTGCTCTTTCTCAACATTCTCCCCCCACTCCTCATTGATCGCTTATCCTCCTTTGTGACGTCATGCGCTATGGATTGCGTAGTGGGTCACAGATGGATAATGGTTGGGAAATCTTGTCCTCCCACTGCCACGATCCTCTCCACTATTTAGTCCGTAAATTAGGGGGGTTTTTGCACACATTTTAGGTTGCAATGATTTTTTCATTGGATTCTATGTTTTTCGACCTGCTGAATCTGAATATGAAGGTCCGTGGCTCGAATTCCTGTGAGTTTTTTTGTTATTAACAATTTTTTAATAAATAATTGAAAAATCGCATTTTCGGGTCGGGAAATTTTTTTTCTGTAATATATACGCTATTTTAAGGGGGGTATATCCTGAGCCATTTTTTCGGATTCACAAAGGTTCCATCGATAAAAAATCATAAACAAATGATTTTTCTAGGTATTTTCGAAAATATTGATTATTATTTTTTTTTGTATTTCACGTTGTTGCATGAGTTATTTATATGATACATCATGAATCATGGAGGAAAGAACTCAATTTATAGTAAATTAGTCATTTTTCAATAATTTGTTAAATTTGTTTAAATTAAAAAAAAACAATTTTCGACGGAGAAAAAAATTTTTCTGCATGTTAGAAGCAATTTGAAAAAGGTAAGTCCTCATAATATTTTCCCTAAAGTCAACCATTTGTTGATAAAAAAATTATTTATTATTTTTCAATACTCGCATAGAACGAGTATTTAATCCCACATCTTCGATCCGCAGGATTTTCTCTTTTTTAAATTTCGGTTGAATTTGTGAGGAATTAATTTCTTCATAATTTTTTTATGAACAAATGGTTGACTTTAGGGAAAATATTATGAGGACTTACCTTTTCCAAATTACTTCTAACATGCAGAAAAATGTTTTTCTCCGTCGGAAATTTATTTTTTTTTTATTTAAACAAATTATTGAAAAATGACTAATTTACTATAAATTGAGTCCTTTCCTCCATAATTCATAATGTATCATATAAATAACTCATGCAACATTTGTTTATAATTTTTTATTGATGGAACCGTTGTGAATACGAAAAAATGGCTCGGGATATACCCCCTTTAAAATGGCTTATATTTTACGGAAAAAATTTTTCCCGACCCGAAAATTCGATTTTTCAATTATTTATTAAAAAATTGTTAATAACAAAAAAACGCACAGGAATCCGAGCCGAGGACCTTCATATTCGGATTCAATAGGTCGAAAAACAGAATCCAATGAAAAAATCATCGCGACCTAAAATGTGTGCAAAAACCCCTCTAGCTTATGGACTAATTCCCAGATTTCCCTTCTCTAATGTCGCCTAAACTGGCGGAGTGGGGGTTTCTCCTTTACTGGCATTTCACGTGAAATGGCTTCAAGGGCACCCCCCGAGCTGTGGGAATTAAGGAGAGTCCAATGTATTCCTCGAGAGTGGATCGCGGGCGGTCGGGATGCAGTATTTAAAGTTCACAATTTTTGGAAAAAGGAAAATTCAGTATGCAATATCCATAGTAGGGATGTGCAAATGACCATCATTTTTTTGGTCGTATGACAATTTTACGACAGTCATGTGAATTAATTTTTCATTACAATTTAAATAGAACCGCATTATTTCAGCTATTTAGACGAGATATGACGCTCACATAGAATCTATGTCACAAAAAATTGTCACGAAATTGAGAAGTCATCATGAAATATCGAATAGTGTAACATTTTTACTGTTATTCAGATGGATTATGATGGTTACATAAGTTTTATGTCACAATAAAGGTCATAATCGAGGAGTGTGATCAGAAAATTTTATCAAATCAAAGAAGTATATACTTTTCATCAACGTTTTTTTTATTGACTGCCAGTCTATAATGTCGTCACTAATTGGTCATGTGACGAAAATTTTGTGGCAGATGATCTATTTAGTTGGAATATGACCATCATATTGTAATGCCGTGATTATTTGGTCATTAGCCAAAAATTGTCATAACTGAAAATTTGAAATTTAAAGAGAATTAGAATTTAGCGAGAAAAAATCCCACGCCGCCAAGCCGGCATTTGAACCCTGATCTTCCAGTTATCGTCGCCGCCAGGAAAGAACAATCTTGGATCTGAGTGGTGGGGGACGTCGAGTCGGAGCTAAATTGGAAAGAGTGAGGGTATACCCAACCACGATCATCCTTCTGTGGTGAGAACTATACGTGTCAGGGGGCCTATTCTCGAAATATTTCCGTGCGCGGAATCGACTCCGTTGACGGAACGCCTATATGATTCCTATACGCAATTCGTCTACGAAGCCACTTCCGTGCACGGAAATATTTCGAGAATAGGCCCCCAGGCACTCTTCCAACTAAGCTACCAGTAACTACGGAAATTCTCCCTCCAAATTCATCTCACAACACCGCCTAACCACCTTTAGGCATCAAATAAATTTAGAGAGAATTTAAAGGATTTTTGTCATGCGACGGTAATATGACGTTTCATAAAATTTTTGCACATCTCACATCCACAGCTGGTGTGCAATATTCGATATACAACTTCTTCTAGCTTAACACGTGACCCCAAATGCTGCATTCTTATTGGTCGTGATGTACACTCGGGCAAACATCAGCTAAATTGGAAATTTCATGAATTTTTTGCCCCTGAATTGAACTTGACGTCACTCTCTTGAAAATTATTGCTGAACTGTCCGTGAAATTTCAATTCATTTCCAGCAATATACCATCTCTCTATATAATAATTTTGTAAATTAAGACAACGCAAAAATTTTCAGGGTTCACGAGAGTCATAAAGGTCAGGAGGGTCACAAAGGTTATAGAGGTCACGAGGGTCAAAGGGATCACGAGAATCAAAACATTTATGAGGGTCACAAAAGTCACTAGGGTCAAAATATGGATCACGCGAATCAAAATAGAGGTCCTCATCTCGTATCTCTTATCTCAAGGTCACGAGAGTTCGATGGTCACAAAGTTCACAAAGGTCACGAGGATTACAAGGGTCATGCGGGTCACAAGGGTCAGAATGTCCTCTCACCATTTATTGAACCTTCAACATACCCAAGCAGCCGCACCACAGATTGGGGGGAAGCGAGCGAAGCGAGCAGGGGCGAAGCCCCCTAGTAAAATAATGATTTTCAGAATTTTTATCCCTTAAACGATAATATTAAACAGTCATCTCACCGTAATCCTTGGAATAATCCGACGGCATGTTCAGAATACAGAAAAAGCAGTAGATCGCAGGAGCCAACGACAGTCATGAACACGAATATGAAGCCCGTAGATATCAGCAAGATTGGATAGTACCAATAATCAACGTCGAGTAAAGAGCTGAATTCCATCGGCATCGCGAACGTTTTTTCAACAGTTACATTACCGTAGATAAGAGGGTAGAGTAGCTTCCGTTGAATTGGTTCCGTGGCGAAGCTGAAAGTGCCGAAGTACACAGCCCCTGCAAGCTCCTCCAATTACAGTCCAGGCTTTATATAAGATATCTCTCTATAAGATCACGTATGAAAAAATCCTATGGAGAAACCGAACATTGCCTATAGGATTTTTCAGATAGGATTTCCTATAGGCTTTCTTACAAGATTCCCTATTAGGTTTTTTCTATTGGATTTCCTACAGGATGTGTTATAGGATTTCCGATAGGATATCCTATAAGAGTATAGGATGTAATAGGAGGGATTATAGGATGTCTTATAGGATTTCCTATAGGATATCCTATAAGATTTTCAATAAGATTTCCTATGAAATTTAGGATCATAAGGGTCCGAATGAGTGTCATATAAGGATTCTATAGAGGTCATATGAAGGTCGTATAAGGATCATGAGGGTCATGTGGAGATCATGTGAGGATTAAATGATCTTCATATTACCCTCACATGACCCCCATATAATTCCTATATAACCCCCATATTACCCTTAAATGACTAATATGACCCATATACAGGGTGTTTCAAAACAACCTTTAAACCTCTCGTGGGTTGATGCATGAGAATATGAGGAATTCGGGAAAAATATTTAAAAAATTCCCGGTTGCCTCAAATTTGAACTATTAACGATTGAAAGTGACCAATAGCGGCGACGGATTATGGCGCCTGGGCCGGGGTGGGGACGGAGCGAGACGACGCGGCAACTATGTCGCTGGGGCAGCGTTCACGCCCGCGTCATGAATCTATTATGACGCGGTGGGTAAAGAAGGGATTTTTCTGATCATTGGTGAGAGGAATAAAATTTTGAATGGGCAATCCGCAAATGAGTTTATAATTGGCTTCCTGATTAATACAGGGCAGTTATCGTAATAGCCACGGGAATTGAAACTAAAGTTTCATGACAGCGCCGAGTTTTGTAACCTCTAAAATCTTTATCTGAAAATTTTAGAGAGACTTCATGCATATGTGCATAAAAATTGAATTTTCCTGGAATGAACAATCCGAGGTGATTTTCATTCGACGAGATCGATATGATTCCGTGTTATTCTGCGCTGATTCAAATCCGAACAATACAGTCTCAGCAGGTTTTCAGATTTTGATAAATTCCTGAGGAATTTCCTCAATAAATTCATGAGGAATTTCCTCACTAAATTCCTGAGGAATTTCCTCAATAAATTACTGAGGAATTTCCTCACCAAATTCCTGAGGAATTTCCTCAATAAATTCCTGAGGAATTTCCTCAATAAATTCCCGAGGAATCTCCTCAATAAATTCCTGAGGAATTTCTTCACTAAATTCCTTAGGAATTTCCTCACTAAATTCCTCAGGAATTCCCGCAATAAATTCCTGAGGAATCTCCTCACTAAATTCCTGATGAATTTCCTCACTAAATTCCTGAAGAATTTCCTCACTAAATTCCTGAGAAATTTCCTCACTAAATTCCTGAGGAATTTCCTCAATAAATTCCTGCGGAATCTCCTCAATAAATTCCTGAGGAATTTCCTCACTAAATTCCTGAGGAATCTTCTCACTAAATTCCTGAGGAATTTCCTCACTAAATTCCTGAGGAATTTCCTTAATAAATTACTGAGGAATTTCCTCACTAAATTCCTGAGGAATCTTCTCACTAAATTCTTGAGGAATCTCCTCAAAACATTCCTCAGGAATTTCTTCAAAAAATTCCTACGGAATCTCCTCACTAAATTCCTGAGAAATCTCCTCAAAACATTCCTCAGGAATTTCTTCAAAAAATTCCTGAGGAATCTCCTCACTAAATTCCTGAGGAATTTCCTCACTAAATTCCTGACGAATCTCCTCGATAAATTCCTGAGGAATCTCCGCAATAAATTCCTGAGGAATCTCCTCAATAAATTCCTGAGGTATTTCCTCAATAAATTCCTGACGAATCTCCTCAATAAATTCCTGAGAAATCTCCTCGATAAATTCCTGAGGAATTTCCTCACTAAATTCCTGAGGAATTTCCTCACTAAATTCTTGAGGAATTTCTTCAATAAATTCCTGAGGAATGTCCTTGATTGATTCCTGAGGAATTTCCTTGACAAATTCTTGAAGAATGAAAAATGTAATTTACTACAAAGTATGCAAAATATTTTGTCGCATAACATCTGTAAATCGGTAACTCATACAAGGCTCTTCTGATTGTGATGAAAACGGAATAATTCCATCGTTTCTCTTCAAAAACCATCAACTTTGTAAGAATCATGCTATTTCGTGACGTTTTCCCATAAATTTTTTTTATCAGAAAATCGGAAAACCTGCTGAGACTGTATTGTTCGGATTTGAATCAGCGCAGACTAACACGGAATCACATCGATCTCGTCGAATGAAAATCACCTCGGATTGTTCATTCCAGGAAAATTCAATTTGTATGCACATACACATGCATGAAGTCCCTCTAAAAATTTCAGCTAAAGATTTTAGAGGTTACAAAACTCGGTGCTGACATGAAACTTTAGTTTCAATTCCCGTGGCTATTACGATAACTGCCCGGTATTAATCAGGAAGCCAATTATAAACTCATTTGCGGATTGCCCATTCAAAATTTTATTCCTCTCACCAATGATCAGAAAAATCCCTTCTTTACCCACCGCGTCATAATAGATTCATGACGCGGCCGTGAACGCAGCCCCAGCGATACAGTTGCCGCGTCATCTCGCTCCGTCCCCACCCCGGCCCAGGCGCCATCATCCGTGGCCGCTATTCGTCACTTTCAATCGTTAATAGTTCAAATTTGAGACAACCGGGAATTTTTTAAATATTTTTCCCGAATTCCTCATATTCTCATGCATCAACCCACGAGAAGTTGTGACGGAATTTTCGAGAATTCCGCCACCTGTACACAACTTAGTCGTAGAATTAAGTAAATCGTAAGACTGAGTCGGTAAGTGTAAATTTATTTTGATCTTTTTGGAGAGAGAGTCGCGATTCCTTGAACCCCAAAGTTAGCACCCCTACCGAAGGGCGATGCAACACCCCCTTTTAGCTCCAGCTCGTAGAAATCGGTCTCCAAGAACATCAGGAAGGGCCTCGCGGGGAAAACAACGTTCAATTTTTATAAATAATCAAATTCACGTGTCGATACACATTAAAAACGAGTAAAAAGTAAAATCTCCGGTTCAAGTCATATGAAAGTTTTGTTTTCTTTTAGTTTCAGTTATCGTTCTGGTTTACTTCGGATTTTAGGGGAAAAATTTTCGGTTTTATGGTTGAGGGAAAATTTACAGTAATTGTATTTTCCTAGTTATATTTTTGTATTTTGAAATCTCGCGAATCCTGAGAGGGACGACGATCCACCGCGGTTCAGAGCCGATACACCGAGCTTCCCGGTGAGATCTCGCTGATCTCATTGAGTCCGGCTGCTGATCACAGAGGTTGAGGTGAAATACTCACGCTCCCTGGCTAAGGCATTTCGTGGAGTCGTTGGAATCACCAGTGCAGCTGGAAGGCCATGTGGATGAACATAGCCCACTCGTCTGCATGGATCGCCATGGGCTATTCTCTCTTTAGATTTGTTCACGGTGACTCCAGGATGACTCCCGGGAGAGTGACAGCAGCGAAAAGTGCACTCACTCAGGGGTGAAGTGCATTCGCGAGGAGAAAAGGCGAACAACTGCCTTAATTCCCCCTTTCCGAACCTCCAGATAACTATCGTTCAGCCATTATGGATAAAAACCCCTTGGGTTAATTCATAAAAGATATAATTAACGGCGGAATGCCTAAAATAAATCTAAAACCCATTTGAATCAAAATCCCCGCGTGCTCGGTTACATGAGCCCGCCCCAGCGGCAGCTAGACGGCGTGCCAGTCGCGCCACCCAGCTGAGAACCTCCGCCGGTTAGACGCAGTTTACGAGAGAGTTGGACCCGAGCAACCACTGCGATAACATCCCCGAGAATATTGACAGCGATCGAGGGAGTTGGTAGAGACCATCGCCGAGGGCCCACACGAGGAACATGGTAAGTACATTTTCATTCACCATGTGCACTCTCTCCCGAGGAGGGAAGTGCATTTATTCCCAGTGTGCCCAGTGATGACCTCCGGGAAAAGTGCACCGACGTTCACAGGAGTGACGCCGAGATGCATTCCCAACCTCCAAAACTCCTCTGAGCGGGTGGATAAATGCACCACTGAGTGCATAAAACCCTCGTTCAGCTCTCCAGACCTCTCCCGAGTGATAAAACCCCAGTGAAACCCAATAGATAGTGAAAATGGACAGTGAGACCCAATAAAAGGCCGCACATGGCCCATGCCCTGCCATGGCGCCATTGTGCCCTCTCCACTCACCAGGAGGTCTTGTGAACAATTAATGCACCTTCTGAGTGCATAATTAGTTCACTAGGACTCTCGAGAACGCATGGGGAATGTCCAGTGCCAATTTTTAGTGGGGAAAAGTGGATAAAACAGGCCCACAAGTGCACACATGCGCCTCACGTGCCGTGGGTGACGCTGTCGTGCACATGGCGGTTTTTCCTCTTTCCAGAGCGAATTGAAGCCTCAAATGAGTGCTCTTCTAGCTCAGTAAAGTTCCCCCAAGGTTTCAATGGATTAATTTAAAATTTCTTGGAAGACGAGACCCCGAAAATCATGACATTGAAGCGCGTGAGCCCCAGGAATTTCCCTGTGACGCTACGACGCTCTTGATGGAGGACGGACTCGAATATGGGGCAAAATGGTACTCTTAAGTGACATTTGCACACTTGAGTCCCTCGCCCATTAATCGTCATTTATTATTCTGAGGAGATTCGCCGAGATCATCGCATCGGAATTGATATAGCCTTCGGATCCTCCAGCACTCCAGTTTCTGGACGATGCGGAGAGATCGTTGGCCTGGACTCTTCGGACCCCCCATTCCCTTCGCAATAACCTCTCTCTCAAGGTCAATTTACGTACTCTCACTCTCGGGAATTTAATCGAATTTAATTTTGTTAAATTCAATTGAAATTAATTTATTTTATTTATGAAGAGTAGAAATTCTATTGGAGTTGAAGTATTATTGAGGAATTGAATAAATCGCGGAGTAAATTTAAAAGTAATTCTCTCATCCCCTATTTAATTAACTTTCTGATTCTTCCTTTTGATTTTTTTGTGTCTTTTGGGTAAATTCGCGACATCCTTCCTAAGACCGAGCGACCGATCCTACCCCGCTCTCCGAATACCTCCGAGCTAGTCGAGCTAATTCCGCAACCTCTCCCTTGATCTCCCCAATTATGGCTAAGTTTTCGTATGGTTCGTATGGTTCTCTTTAATGCGGTTTGTTGACACCGCTGGAACAAAAGTCAGCTGGCGCCCGACAACATTTTTCTCGTTTTCCCGTTTATTTCGTTTATTCGGTTTTCGAGGATTTTCGTGGGGACATCGAGGAGCAGAGGCCGAAGGTGACAATACTCCGGCTGTTTTGAGTTTCGCATCGAGTTATGGATAAGTCTACGGTTTATATTTTAAGTTTTGAGGTTCACGTGGGTTAGTGCCGTCACAAGATTTAAAGGTTGTTTTGAAACACCCTGACCCCCATATGACACTTTTGACTAAATTTTATAGGGAATCCTGTTGAAAATGTCATGAAATCCTATGAAAATCCTATAGGACATCCTATAAGAAATACAATAGGAAACACCTGATAAGGAATCCTGCAGAACAATACTATCTGGAAAAGTCTATAGGAAATGTTCGAATCCTCCATAGGGTTTCCTATAGGAAATCCTACAGGATATGCTATAGGAAATCCTATAGGATATGCTATAGGAAATCTTATAGGATATGCTATAGGAAATACTATAGGATATGCTATAGGAAATACTATAGGATATGCTATAGGAAATACTTTAGGATATGCTATAGGAAATCCTATACACAGAGAAAAAAGTGTTTCAAAAATTAGTGTACTATTCACCAACGCTGGGGTATAACAGGGGGTCATCGAAAAATTCGTATGTGGCACCCCACATTTTAGAACTACTTCGCGCGATGCCCGTCAAACTTCGGGCGCCACATACGAATTCTCTAGTGACCCTTTATTATGTCCCAGCGTTAGTGATAGCATTTTCGATTTAGGTTGCTCTACGCCGGAGTGGGGTACCCTACGCCGGAGTAGAGTAGAACTAAATCGAACATAACGCGGGCAATTTGAAATATTTGCAGAAAAATTAATCAAAGTCACAAAGGAGAAGGATATTTGTCAGAAACTAACAAACTATTAGATATACTATTGACCATTACCTTTTTATGAATACTATCCTCCTCTTTTAACATTTTTATTCATTTTACTGCAAATATTTCAAATTGCCCCCTGTTATGTTCGATTTAGTTCTCCGGCGTAGACCAACCTGAATCGAAAACGCTATGAGTAACACAATAATTTTTGGGGGGACTCTCACGGAATTATGGTGTTTTTCTCTCTGCGTAGGATTTTTTCATACGTGTCGATACCTCGAGCTACGAGCACTCGAAGCCTACTTCCACTCTCGAAACTTTTATCACCTCCGGAATGTTTAGTTCTGCAATTTTTTTATAAGACACCTATGGCCTCGATTACTTTTCAAGGGGAAAAGACTGATTATAAGGATCAAACGGAGTTAAGGGTCAAATGGACGGGACTAACGAAGTGATCATAACCGTCGAATGGCCTTAAAGGTCAAAAGTTTAAACATGAGAGTCGACTAAAGTCATCAGAAGGGTTTGACAATCCCGCACAGCAAAAACGAATATTTGAATTTCACACATCTTTTCTAGACATTTTTCAGACATTAAAAAACGTCTGAATAAAATGAAAATTTGTCCGAATTTCAAACATGAATTAAGATGTTTGGGCACCTGTTCGTCTGAAATTCAGACTGATTTTCATTTTATTCCGACATTTTTTAGTGTCTGAAGAATGTTTACAAAAGGTGCGTGAAATTCAGTCATTCATTTTTGCTGTGCGATGAGGGTCACCTCTTTTGATCGATGCCATAATTATTAAACTGATGACGCAGAATTATCTTAATCTGATCTCTATTTTACTCCTCTTTATAAGTGCGGGTAGTGGGGGTACACGGATTCCTGGAATTCCACTCTTCTATTGTCCCTAAGGTATCTTATATAAAGTCTTGACTGTACCCATAATCATCAGTACCGAAACAATTCAACTCACCCAAATATAGAATCGAAGCCTTCCTGCAGAGTTCGCTGTGATAGTGCAGCAACTGTTGTCCGTTGGTTCGGGGAAAGATGATCCAATTTTCCTCGATCAAATCCAAGAGATGAATCAACTAAAGTCAATGGAAATTCATTACCAAGTTGAGATTAATTTATTGATTTTTTTCACTTACTGTCCTCGAATGAAAGCAATTATTCACGAATTTCGCTATTAGTATGGCATCCACGAGGAAAGGGCTCAAAGTGTCCAGAAGGATTTTCAAATCGTTGCGATAGGTGTACACAGCAATGAACTGTTACGAAATGAGAATGATAATGATAATGGTAATTTCTTCACGGAAAATGTCTTCTTCAAATTCTACTTATTGTCCTTGAACTTCGAAATGATAAATAATGATCAGTATTAAGGTCTCACTTCATCTGTCAGTGCCAAAGAGTAATGCCGCGAGACGCCAGAGAAACGAGACGAGACGAGACGAGACGAGAAGAGCCATTCAAAACAATAACAGAAACAAGACGAGCTGAGAAAAGCTGGTCGCGAATGAGAGAAACGAGAGGGGAGACGAGAGTCGAGAGAGAGCCTCCACCTCTCTGCCGCTAGATGTATTTTTTTTCGAGACGAGACGAGAGCAATTCGAGAGAAACTGTATCTTTTCGTCTCGTCTCGTCTCGCGGCATCACTGGTTCCAAGTCTCACTCAACCAGGAAATCTTTAGTTTTTCACATATATATCAACATGAAAAATTACCAGTGGAATTATAAAAAAATCAGCAGTTGAATACCGTGTTGACTGTATAAAATAACAGTTGAATAGTGCAATTCTACTGGCTGAAATTTGGATGGGAAAAATTCTGGATCTTTATGTACCTGTGGTGTTAATTGAAGGCTGATGATAACGAATAAACAGCTGCGATAAATGACGAGTTCTTTCGTACTCTGATGAGGCCATTGTCCCACGAGACTCGTCATAGTCTTCGTGAGTTTGTAGTACGGATGGTCGAAAAAATTTACAGTTTTCCCCATGCCTTCAACTCGTTCGCGTCATACAATTGAAAAATGATTGATATCGCCGCGTTTAGTTCCTTGCTTCCCCCCATCGTTCACGGTTTTATCTCTCTCCAGAGAAAATAACGCCTGTGATTGACAGCTAGATTGGCCTGCATAATCTTCCGGTGAAATCAGTTGATTTCAGGCGGAAAGAAAATTAACGGTATTTTTACCTGGTAATTTTCCTCGATTTGCTGTTTCAATTCTTCATCAAATTGTTATACATAATAGCCCTTAATTTGCGGGTAATTGACAGTTGCCGAAGTGATGCATAATAAATTGGCGAGGATAGCAAGGGTTTGGAGGAAGGAGAAGGGGTCTCTGAAACGAATCCATTATTCTTCTTCTGGAAATATGAGCGGGAGCTCGGAGACGTTCACTTCGAGATATATCGACGAAGGTGACTAATGACACGACTGGCCCATACGTCTAGATGTGGCAATACAAATTTTCTTTGGATTCTGCTAATTGTGAGGAAAATTGTGAGTAAAATTTCAGATTATTATATCGATCCTCTGATTTTTTATGCTTAAAAAATAGTTTTTTTCGATTTTTTTTGAGTACTTCAAAGCTAATTAAAAATCTTTAAAAATTCTGAAAAATCAAAAAAAATATTAAAATTGAAGGGAGAAATTTTTAATTCATTTTTAATTGTTAAATAATATTCTTGATCGACACTTCTTTTTTTTAAAATCATTCTTATAGGTAAAGATTTTTCTACCACTTTGATAAAAATTTACGAGATTCTAGCCTCAATTCCCCACATTTTGAGAAAAAAAAATTCGAAAATTCCACCTGCAACGCATTTAAAAAAAATTAATACGTCAAATTTTTGCGTTTTTTCATGGATTTCATGGAGATCATCCCTACAGGTTAATCATCCCTACAGGTCTGTTAATTGATTACTATATTCAATCTAGTATTGTGGCCCATTATACTTTTGAAGGAGAGCAACTGCTGGGCAAAATAGCTAGCAATGCAATAAAACGATTTGAGTTGACTGAGTTCTTAGCTGAGTTTTCAGGCAATATCTCCGAATCTAAGAAAGATAGCAAAATTTTTGTAACGCCCTTTTTTTGTAAATTTTGATTCCCTTTACAAGAAAGATTGTGAGAAAAAAATTGGTATCTGTCTTACATTCCGAGATATTCATTGAAAACTAACCAATATCAAAATTAACTTGAACCGTTTTGCTGCTATGCTACTGAAATGGAACATAAGGTATGATGGTATTCCGAGTCAGAATAAAACCCGAGTCAAAATTTTACCGGGTCTCCCGACATAGTTTCAACGTTTTGAACCTACATTGCTTTGATGTTCAAATTCTCCGCCGAATTTTCACCGTACTTTCAACCTATATCAACGTTAATGACGTTTTTTTTCTGTTAACGTACGTTTTAAGCTTCGATTGCCAAAATTTGATTGTATCAAAGTAATTATTGACGATAATTAAAATTTCATTGCCGTGTTAAAGACTCACGTAATTAAATTATTAGTGTTAATACATTAATAACATTAGTTCGAAGTTCAATCGAAAATCAATTTCGAAAATGAGTCAAGCCAAATTGTGAATACCCCATGCACATGTTCTCGTGACCATCTAGACAATGAATCACTAAAAAAATCACTAACAGACTTGAAGCCCAGGATAAAGAAAATCGTAAGAACAGATTAATTTTCAGTGGACTTGCGGTGCCTGTCAATGATGTTGTGGGCTCTATCTCAAAGATCCTGGATGAAAAGTTTGGCTATTCTGGTCCTGTAATGAACGTCAAAATCCTTCGCAGGGCAGATAATGACAAAGTCACTATGATTGGAGCCTCGTTGCTGTCCTGGGAGGCAAAGGTGAACGTTCTTCGTAATAAAAGAAATGTGCCTGACCTTGGTAACATCTACATTCAGGCTGATCTCACAGAAAGGGAAAGAAAAGCGATGTATGAGCTAAGGAAATTCGTTCGTGAACATCAGCCTGATGGAAAAGAGGTTAAATATTCCTATTTGAAGGTCATGGTTAAAAAAAAGTCGTATCAGTGGGATGAAGACTTGGAGGCAGTGGTGCCTTGTGGATCAGACCCTAAAAGCTCGAAAACCTCGACAACCGCTCGTTCCAGCTCAAATCCACTTGCTCCTCGCCAATTGTCACAGGCTCCGACAACGAAAAAAAAAAAAAAANATGGAAAAGAGGTTAAATATTCCTATTTGAAGGTCATGGTTAAAAAAAAGTGGTATCAGTGGGATGAAGACTTGGAGGCAGTGGTGCCTTGTGGATCAGACCCTAAAAGCTCGAAAACCTCGAGAATCGCTCGTTCCAGCTCAAACCCACTTGCTCCTCGCCAATTGTCACAGGCTCCGACAATGAAAAAAAAAACTAGTTGCCTCTCGGATCTCCTTCTGGAACTGCTCAGGATTTTCCAGATGGGAGACCCGAGAATTCTGCGAGAAATCGGACATTATCTACATATCTGAGACCTGGAAACTTGAGGAGAATCCGTTGTTGCCCCCCTTCTTGAATGAGTACCAGCCAATATGGATTTCTGCTAAAAAGACAGTTCCTACTTCTAGAGGAAGGGGTAGCGACGGTCTCCTCACATTGATTAGAGATGGACTGAACTTTGAGGTGCTGAACGCTTGTGAATTATGGTGTTGTGTGAGAGTGGATTCTGGTGACTGTACTTTATTTTTGTGTTCTGTTTACTTTAATTAAAAAGTGAATATCGCTCTGGCTCTTGAGTCTCTCCAGACTGTGATCTCGAGTATCTGTGACTCTCATGATGATCCTATAATCATCATTGGTGGTGATTTTAACTGTCGCATCAAAGAGCTGGGTAGCTGTGACCCTGTTCTGACCACTGACAGTATTTTGTTTGCGGACAGGCAGTCACTAGATTTGGGGCGCCCGTCTGCGGGCAGTATTGCTTTATTGGATTTCATGCTCGACAATGGCTTCGTGGTATTAAATAGGAGGACTCCAGGGGATCATCCTGCGCATTTCACATACATCGATCATCAGGGCAAGCGTGTCATTGACTTGATTTTTGTTAGGATTAATTGTATATCCCTCTTATCTGATTTTTCTGTTGACATGTCAGTGACGTCTTCGAGCCATTTTCCTGTGAAGCTAACTCTAGCTGACCCTGCGGCCACCCGGTCTATCTCTCGGGATACATTCGTACCGGCACGTCTTAAATGGGTTAAAGAGAATAGGGAAGTGTTCACTCGATACTTAGAAGAAGTGAACTTTGAGTCTGAAACTGTGGTAACTATAGATGAAATGTCTGAATGTATTCAGGGGGCCCTTTGGGATGCCGCGGGCTCGGCTGGAATGGTTTCATGTCCAAAAAAACCAATGGATCTCCTGATAGAATTATTAAAAAACCTTGGTTTGACGATAGTTGTTACGCGTCCAAAAAAGAGAAAGAAAGAGCTTTAAAGTCTACCAAAAAATCGGGGTTCTGTGAGCCTTATTTAAGTCACTTTGTAGACTGCAAGAAAAATTATAACCAACTTAAAATTGAGAAGAAATTGATATACCAAGAAGAAATTATAAACATGCTAGCCAATGTCAAAAATGCAGCTGATTTTTGGGCAGCGGTTCGCTGTTATAGAATTACTAGTTTCACTCCAGGCCTTCCAGTCGAGATATGGAATCAGTTCTACCGCCATATTTACCCCCCGAGGATAATCTGTGATTTGATAATAATAGGTGAGAGTAATTCTTGGCTCGACGGTCCTGTCTCTCTCGCTGAGCTTAACGAAGCATTTGTCAACTGTAAATCTGGTAAGGCCCCTGGAATAGACATAATTTCAAATGATTTTATCAAAGCCATGCCTCTAAGCTGTAGAGAGTATATTTTGAATATGTTTAACCGCATTCTAGAGAATGAATCAATGCCGAAGGCCTGGGGTAGAGTTCTATTATCAATGATTCACAAAAAAGGAGATAGGAATGATCCGTCCAATTATCGCGGTATTGCACTCATAAATTGTCTCACAAAGATTTTCACTGGGATTTTGTGTCGCAGGCTTGATATTTGGGCAGAATCGGCTGGTATTCTCCCCGAATGTCAAGCCGGTTTTCGTAGAAAGAGGTCATGTTTGGACAATATTTTTTCGGCTATTGTGGTAACGCAACTTCAACTCAAATATAAAGGTCGCTCGGTTTACAGTCTGTATGTTGATTTTCGCAGAGCCTTTGACTCTGTCTCTCACGCATTGCTCTAGAATAAACCTCACGGGTTGGGCGTGAGTGGCAGAGTCATAAGGACTATTAAATGTCTATACGACGTAGCTTCGTTGCAAGTAAAGTCCGGAGGAGGTCTCTCTGACTCTTTTGAGATTACAGAAGGAGTTTTACAGAGCGAAATGTTGAGTCCCCTCCTTTTTATTCTCTTTCTTCACGACATTGAGAGTGTTTTTCGTGCAGAAGATGTCTACGGTCGGAGCATCAATAATCGACATGATCTCCTAATGCTTTTATACGCGGATGACTTGATTCTCCTGGCGCCTACCCCAATAATGATGAAAAAAATGATTCGAATTCTGGAAAGGTACTGCGGCCAAAATTCTCTCTGTGTAAATACCAGTAAAACAGAGATAGTTGTTAGTCGAAATGGAGGAGTTATCAAGGGAGCTAAACAATTCAGATTGTCCCACTCTACACATATTTGGGCATTCCAATGTCGAGTTCATCGTTAGGATTGAATGCGGCTTATGAAGCCATTGAGAAGGCCAAGAGAGCGCCTGGAGCGATTAGAGCCATCCTGTCTCGTTCAGGGGCGGACTCCTGGGAACCTGTCCTGAAATTGTACTATAGTATGGTAACATCGACACTTTTGTATGCGGTCCCAGGCTGGGGGTTACGTTATTGTAGCATGATTGAATGCGCTCAAGTTCCTTTCTGTTACATCGTAACTCGTTCAAAATCTACGCGCGTGCTGAATGCTTGTTGTTATCTAGTTCGCCACGCCATCGCTGCGAATTT